ATTCCTTACTGCTCTGTTCTATAGCTCGGGGGGGGGGGAGTTACATTACAAACGGGGAGTCGATTCTCTCATTCCCCCCTTTTTCTTGTGGATGACCTCTAATCTTAGAGGTATGTTGTAGCTAGGGGTTCATATTGTTGACCTATGACCATTACTTTGACCTGAGAAACTTGTGTCCTTATGAATTGGGTAATCCGGTTAATAAGGCAAGGGGCAATGGCTAGGATTAGGATTAAGGTCAGTAATGGTCTTATCAAGGGAAGGAGATAGGGGAGAATTCCGTTTTACATTTTTTAAAGGGGGCTCCCATACAAAGATCTTTAACAATTGTTTTTTTTTGCTTACAGGGGGACCAAAGCCGCCATGCAAGGCCAGCATCAATGTTATTAAAATCAAAACAAGCAAGCTAAAACAGTTCATGACCAGCATAATCTAACTATGCTTTAGTCAATTTTTAACTTTAAGGGTTACCAGTCTGTTGTGTAGTCCACTGAGTATGTCCCTCGTTGTCTGCTGTTTCCAGTGGCTTTACATGAGTGTAGTGAATCCACGCAGTTTTTCCTGCTACCTTGATGGCAGTGGGGGTACTGAGCACCACGTTGAAAGGTCCTTCTCAGCGGGGTTCAAGGGTGTCACGGTGGTGACATCTAACCAAGACTGGAGTCCTTGGGGCCTTGAGAGGCGTCTCTGAAGGCGGGTCCAGGTGTTTTTGTCTAAACAGCTGGTGGATCCAGGCCAACACAGGTTGGAGTGTCTGCAGGGACTTAAGATCTCGATTAGTAATTTTAGCTAATTTGTCTTCTGACAATCTTGGAACCAATGGCAGGGGCCTCCCAAACATGGCTTTAAAGGGGGAAATTTTTGAAACATATGGGGTATATCTAGCTCTTAACAGTGCAAAGGGAAGAAGGCTCATCCAATTATCACCAGTTTTTGAAGACAGCTTAGCTAAAATGTCCTTGAGACTTTGGTTTATACGTTCTATTTGCCCTGAGCTTTGTGGCTGATAGGCACAGTGGAGTTTTAATTAATCTTTAATGCCTGGGCTAACTTTTGGGTGACTCGGGCTATGAAAGCCAGGCCATTATCGGACCCCATTGATAGTGGGAGGCCAAATCAAGGTATGATCTCATGCAATAGCTTTTTAACTACCACTAAGGCTGACTCAGATTTAGTAGGGAAAGCCTCTACCCAGCCAGTAAAAGTGTTTATTAATACCAAGAGATAGCGGTGTCCCTGTAAATTAAGTTTTACCATGTCTATGAAGCCTACCTTCCAATATTCTCCTGGAACAATTCCTTGATGTCGGGTGGTCTCCAGCGCAGAGCTCTTGGCTGAGTTGACTAACAAGCACTGTGGGCATCTAGAGCTCAAAGAGGTGGTCAGTTTGTAGAGTTTTGGAATAAAATACTGAGTTCTGGACAAATCCACAAGTTTAGTTTTTTCTAAACGAGTAGTCTGGCGAGCCCGGTATAACAGCTCCTGCCCTAGTGTCTCCAGTAACCGTACTTGTATATCAGGTAACTGGTATTAGCCCCTTGGGGTGGGAGACTTTATTCCAAGTTGAGATGCCAAATGTAGGTCTTTCTTTGTGTAGACTGGTTCTGACAAGGTCAGAGGACTAGTATCAGAGCAGTTACTTTCTTGGTTGACCCCTCTGATGTGGTTGCCATTTTTCAAGTGGCTTGATCTGCCAAACTGTTTCCTAAGGTGACAGTGTCATCTCCAGTGGGGTGAGCCTTGTAAGGAATAGCAACCCATTGAGGCAGCCAGACAGCTGCCAGCAAATCTAGAATCTGTGGAGCATTTTTAGATGGCTCCACGTACATGTACAGTAGCAAAGGGATATCTTCAGTAAAAAAATGTTTACCCTCTTTTCCGTGGCTAGTTTTAGCCTCTCAGTCAAAGCAACAAGCTCCGCCTTTTGGGCAGAAGTGCCAGGCTCTACCCGCTTAACCCAGAGTACCTCCTTTTCGGTGGTCACTGCTGCCTCGGCCACTCGTTTGCCGTTTTGGATGAAGCTGCTTCCATTGAACAGTTGTCGGCATTTCCCAAAAGCTGGTCAGTAAGATCAGCCTGTAGGTTCTGCTGCAGTTCGAGGATATCAGCACACTCATGGAGAGAGGTGTCCTTTGTTCCTCTGGGTCATCATTAGGCATAAGGGTGGCTGGGTTTAAAGCTGAAGAAGTCTTGAATATCATTGACTCTGGGTCTAGAAGCAGGGCTTGACAGTAGAATTCTGGTGTTTGAGAGCCTTTTTTTAGGAGGGGTTTTGATAAGAGTCTCTAAACTGTGAGAGGTTACCACAGAAATCACTTGCCCAAAGCGAGTTTCTTTGTCTCCTTAAGTAGCATTGTCACAGTAGCTAGTATTCTTAGGCAGGGGGGCCATACTCCTGTTACTGAATCAAGTCTTTTGGAGAGGTAGGCTATAGGCCTCTTTCAAGGGCCAATGTCCTGAGTTAGGACTCTTTTGGCAATGTCCCTGAGTTTATCTATGAACAAGATGAAAGGCTTGGTAATGTCAGGGAGTCCCAGGGCTGGGGCCTCTGTCAAGGCCCGCTTGAGCTGTTGGAAGGCCTGTTTACATTTATCAGTCCAGTTCAGCGAATTTTGAGTTTCTCCCTTATGGGAGTCATATAGAGGCAAGCTTTTCAGTAAAATTTAGCCTACAGTATCCAACTGCCCCCAGAAACTCTCGTCTGTTTTTTTAAAAGTTTTCTCTCATAGAGCAATTTTAACACCGTGGCTATCTTTTTGTAAATTTTTAGTTCTTAAAAGACCTTTTTGTGCTATCTCTATTAACTGGCTGAGGGGCATTTCCTTAAACCTCTCAAACCTTTGTAATTTTTGTCTAACATGTGGGGCCGACTGAGTTACAAAGAGAACAACTGGCAATACTGGGAAACCTCCTTACCTCTGGATGTCCAGTCAGGGTGGCACAAAAGGAGAACATGGTTTTGGCATTCCGGATCAGAGAGCCGGCTTCATCTGGATGGCACACTGCTTTTTGTCCAAGGGTGTCATGTGGCAGGCCATCATTTTACTAAAATTATATTCTTAACAAAAAGGGCTTTTTCACAGGTAACAAAATTGTGCTGCATAATCTCCCAGATGTTCACAGTACATGTAAAAACTTGTATCTTATTTTTAGTATCACCTATAATCTCATTTTAATGAAAACATTTTGCAGCAAAGTACAATCTTATGTATACTTTTACCAAAACTGATCTAATACTGTCAAATTCTGAACACATTTACTTCTTGTCAAACCTGTTATTTGTAGTACTATAAACCAAGACAAATAAAATTTACATCCTCTTGAGCCTTCTACAACTTACAATAATACCTCCCAAACTAAGCTTTAATCTTTTTCCACATTCTGGCATAGCCAGACACCTTTACTTGAAGACCACTCTCTTTGTCCCTCTTTTTACTATTACCAGTCAATTACCTTTTCTCTCACTTCTCAGACATCAAAACTCTCAACAAAACCCTTGAAGTCACCTTCTAGTAGTCCAAAATATACTTATTTACCACATAAAAATGTTGTATTTTAAAAACAAAACTGTAACCTTTTAACTGGCTCAAATATAGTACCGCCTGGTTTTTACTTGGCAAAGTTGACATGACTCTTGACAACCATAGATATACATATATATGTGCACATGTTTACATTTTCACCAGAGAGAAAAAAAAAATACTCCTTTTAAAAGGTATGCCAAGGTTGCAAGCAATCAGTTGAAGTCTTACATATTAAACAAGGTGCCACAACATTAAAGACACAAACAAAGGGAGCTTCTTGCATAGTTTGGTCAGCTAAAGGAAATAATTTTTCTTATCATGAACCTTGAATCTAATAAGCCATATGGATCCTGCAACAGAAATGGGCAACAAGCCCCTAAGTTAGTAACAAGTTTAAACAGGCAACCAAGGAGAGGGCGGAGGAAGGAAGGGTTTTACCCACGGTGGGGGCTCCTCCCTGAGGTCCTGCCATACCAAGATGTAGGCGACCCGGTCGGGGTGGCCCTCTCGTCCGGGGCCGAAGATGATGTTCTTAACTGCTAAGATGAGGGGATGGTGGAAAGTCCCCTCCAGTGGCCAACCCACGGAGAATGTGGGCCACTTAGATGAGCAGAAAGTCTGCCATTTACTTTTTTAACCTGTAAGGAGAGATTGTGAGCCCTCTCTCGAACCTCCGACAAATGGTCGAGGCTGAGGGACAATGGGGACGATGTCGTCTGTCCCATGATGTTCTGAAGACAAAGAGTGGTTAGCGTACGCGTGACACAACAAATAACCGTTCACAACAGTCACACCACACAGGACAAACAGGCCGGCCACCTCACTCTCACACATTAGTCTCACACCAAATGAGTCACCTTAGGGGGTGCCTCCAGATTGGCCCGGACGGACCACAGATTGGGAATGAAATTCCCCAGATTGGCCCAGACGGACCACAGATTGGGAATGAAATTCCCCAGATTGGCCCAGATGGACCACAGATTGGGAATGAAATTCCCCAGATTGGCCCAGACGGACCACAGATTGGGAATGAAATTCCCCAGATTGGCCCAGACAGACCACAGATTGGGAATGAAATTCCCCAGATTGGCCCAGATGGACCACAGATTGGGAATGAAATTCCCCAGATTGGCCCAGACGGACCACAGATTGGGAATGAAATTCCCCGGACCGATAGGAAAATCCTATCGCAGACGGTGAGTCACGGAAAATCGTGTGGGGCATCCCCCGATCACCCAAGAACAGAGAACAGATAACAAAAACAGGTAACAAAAATTGCCCCTAGATCGGAGCCGTTTGGCTCGGGGCGTAAAATACCGGTAGATTGATCCTCAGAGTAAAAATAAGAAGCGACCGGTCATACTCACCCACCGCAGAGCCGTTGAGGTCACCTCCCGTGAGACGTGCTATCTCGCTGGGGCCTCCAAAATGTTAGGGCCGACGCCGCAGGGAAAGAGACCCCAAGGACTCAACTCATGGTGAGGCAAAAAAAGTTTATTTCCATGCGCATGGGGTCCCCCAGGCAAACGAGTGCGGAGGGCCTCGAGGGGAATTTGTGCAGGGTTTTTAAGGGCACAAGCGGGAAGCAAGCAGGTTTACAGAAGCAGATCGCATTGGTTAATTTTGAACGGCGCAGGACTTGGCAGATGCTGATTCGAGGTGTCTGGGGCTGAGTAACCATGGAGACTGAGGGTCCTGGTCTAATCTCAGAGTGCCAGGTACAACTCGGTCTGGTTTGAACAGCACATTCCTTTACTTATCTTTATCTTTACAGAGGACAGAACGTCTTGTGGTTAATGACTAGCAGATTCATTCCTTCCTGTCCTGCCCCGATATCTCAAGGAGGAATTAGGGAGTGAAACATTCCTTACTGCTCTGTTCTATAGCTCGGGGCGGGGGAGTTACATTACAAACGGGGAGTCGATTCTCTCACTCTCCCTCTCCATTCCTGGGATTATTGGTGGTACTCATAACTGCACAAAGGTTATTCTTATAATAATTATTTTGTTTGGATTAATTATGGCTGCTCTGCAGATCTGGCCTAAGTACACAAAGTGTCAACTTTGATCCAATAATTAATTCCTCTGCTGTGCCTTTTGTAGGGGAAAGTGGGAGAAAAGACACCTAAGCTTGCTTTCCCCAAACCTCTTCCTGATCCAGCCTGAGCTCCATTGTTTTAAACTTTGCCCAAAAGCAAGGTACCACCAAGATCAAAGCACAGCCTCTGGCCCCTTTAAGGACTACTTTAAAGAGAACTACTGCCTGTAGAAGTAATGGAAGAAAAGTCACCAGGTAGCATCGTAGTTTGGAATCCATGTAAGTCAGTGAAGTCAGTGGTAAGGAGACCAGGTGGGACTAGATGTTTCTTCTCAGTGATGAGAGAGAGAGAGAGAAAGAGAGAGAGACAGACAGAGAGAGAGACAGACAGACAGACAGACAGAGAATATGAGAGAGAGAGAGAGAGAGAGAGAGAGAGAGAGAGAGAGAACCCAGCTGCAGCTGATCCTAGAACCAACTGCTTTGCTTCCTACTGTTGTTTAGGGCTCCTCTCTCACAGGTGCAATCCGAGCTGTCGGTTTTCTTTTTTCTCCTTAAGCAGCAATTAGCAGTCCAGGGACACTATTTCAAAGTGGCCTCAACACTTGACAGTGACCTTTTTGGCTTGGTTGGTTTCCTAGCTTTCTTCCCTCGCCCCTGCTGATAGGGGACTCTTCAGTCAGCTCTGTGCTCTCTCAAGGCAGGGTTCTGGAAATGGCTACCCAAATCTTAGAATTGCTTCCTCTTCCCACCTTGTGTCCGGACCCGGGAAGAAGACAAGGCCGCAGAGTGGTCTGTGTCCCTGTCTTTATTTTGATCAGGTTTCTGCCTTGCTGTGTCAATGCCCATGGCCTCGGGATGCTCTGGGCTTCCCAGGTGATCAGGATTAAAGGTCACCCTGAGCAGCCAGGCTTCCTTTGTGATGCCTGAGTGCATCACAAAGGCAAGATCTCCCTGGGTGTGGGGGGCAGGGAGGTGGGGCTGCAGGCCCCTATGGACAAAGGAGGACTTTTCCTTTCAGGGTTGGGGTTCCCATCAGCTGACTTTCCTCCTGTGAAAACTGGAGAAGGGATGGGAATCCCAGGTTCAGGAGGCTCAGCCTCTCCCAGGGCCCTTGACAGAGCACCTGTGCCCTTGCCAGGTAGAGGCAAGGAGCAGACATCAGACCCTGAGCAGCAGGGACCAGCATATGGGGGATCCCCAGGTGCTTTCCTGAGCAGAGAGTGCAAACCCACAGAGAAGTCACAAAACGCTCAGAGCTGACTGAAGTCACACTGTGTCCTCCAACGCCGGTCACATCATGTATACACTTCAGCGTGATGTTGCCACGTAGGAGCGTAAGTATGCAGCAAATTCTGCCGTATCTGGGGAAATGTAATCGCAGGCGGTTCTGTAGGGAGCCACACGGACTTCTGTCTGTGCATGCAGCCAAGACCTGAGCAAAACGAGTAGAAACGCAGACCACGCCCCCAGGGCTCAGGGCAGGGCCGCCCGCTCCCCTCCCTCCCCTCCCTCGCTGCGGGTGACGGGCGGGTGGGGGTGAGGTGGAGGTGGGGGTGGGGAATTCTTGGCGGACGGTTGAAGTTGCCGGAGCAACTGCTGGGCCCTTCTGACCGCGAGGCGGGAGGAACTCGGGGCGGGTGGAACTCACCTCAGCCCCTAACTCACTGGAGTCGCGGATGAAGCCCCTGCCTAGGACAGCACGGGAGCAGGTTGAGCAGGGAGAGGCGCCGCCGGGATGGTGATTAGCGCTCCTGAGGCAGCCGGCGACAAACAAGGGGAGAGTGGGTTGGACCAGCGAGAAGAGCTGGGGGGAGGGAAACCTGTGAATTGGGGGAGGACGCAAGCGGGCTGGGGGAGGGCAGGTGGGCTGGGGAGGGCGCAGGTGGGTTGGTTCAGGGCACAGGTAGGCTGGATCCTAGCTAGCCTGGGGCAGGGCACACGTGAGAGGGATACAGCTGACCTGAGACGGGCCTGAAGGGGCAGGTGAGGCTGCCGCTCTACCCTGAGGTGCTGGACAGTTGACCCCGTTCTTACGCAAGCAGAGGGGCTGGCGTGAGTCTGCCCCTCCTGGTCTCTGTTGCGCGTGGGGTGGCTGTGGGCGGCTCCTGATGGAGCTGTAAAGTGTGTGGATGGAAAAGGGGACGGGGTCTCAGGATTGGGTCTCCTGATCAGCATCCCCTGGGTCCCCTCCTGGTAGGCACAGCCCTGACTGGAGGAGGAGGAGGAGGAGGAGGCAGAGCTGGCTTCCCGTGCATCCCGCCGTCACCCCGCAGCCCTGCTCAGGCTCCTTGGGCCCAGCCTGAATCCTGAGCAGGCTCCCAGCATGGTGCAGGCAGGGCCTGACTGGTGGCTGCTGCTGACCAGCTTGCTCCAAAGCAGCCTGGGGTGGCAGGTGGAGACTGCACCCCAATATCCTTTCTCCCCTCCCTCCTGGAAGCGCAGAACTTTGCTCTTCAGCATTGCAGGGTAACCCCCACAGTCCTAGCTTTTCTCTTTCTTTGTTAGGTGTGGCTTGTGAGTAGCTAATGCTGTGTAAGAAAGGCAGGGGAGGGTGGGGGGGACTGGAAATGTCCCTGGTGCAGGTTCCTTTTGCTTAGCGGTGCTTGAGATGGAACTCAAAGCTGTCACATGGAGCTACTTGTAATTTTCTTTCTTTCTTTCTTTCTTTCTTTCTTTCTTTCTTTCTTTCTTTCTTTCTATCTTCCTCTCTCTCTCTCTCTCTCTCTCTCTCTCTCGCTTTCTTTCTTTCTTTCTTTCTTTCTTTCTTTCTTTCTTTCTTTCTTTTTTTCTTTCTTTCTTTCTGACAAGGCCTTGCTAAGTCCCTAACTGGGCCAGGCTGGACTTGAACTTTCGATCTTCCTGCCTGTTTCATGGAGGGCAGGGTTTACAGGCTTGCAGCACCAGGCCTGCCTCCTGATGTGTTCCTAATAGGATTAGGACGGTGATATTCCTGTTATCCCAGTGGCTGAAAGTAGCTGGAATCCCAGAATCTACCCTAGACCCTCAGCTGCCTTAACAGAGAGAAGCAACAAGAGAAAGGCTCTAAGTATCTATTAAAGCTTAGCTTTAGTCTAGAACGCTAGTCTGATAGTAGACTACACCACGTCTAGACTTTCCTGGCTGGAAACAGAAACAAATTTCTGTTCCTCAAAGCTACCAGAATCTTTCTGTGACTCACACCTGACCTTAACCTTGTATTGTGTTCCAAGACAAGAAGTCCAAATTTGGTTCTAACTTTGGAGGAATTTTAAGCACAGGAATAACAGGACCAGTTCTACCTTTTTCTAAGTAGAAAATTTATTATTTATAGGCAGCAAACGTCAGTAGAAATTCACATGCAGTCAGAAAGGGACCAGCTCTTCGGGAAGTCAGTGAGAACTGGACAGCAGAATTGTGGCTGAAGGTGCAGCTGAAGAAGGCCCAGCCTCAAGATGACCACACCTGCCTGCCTCTTTAAGGCACAGCGGTAACTTGGAATTGTACTGTAATTAGCCCCAGCTGGTCCAGGAAGTCCAGCTAGGGCATCAGTCACCAGGAGGCTGAGCAGAGCATCTGGACCATCCCCTCCCCCAAAGGCCTTTGTTCTCTGCCTGTACCCTTGCTGTGGGCCCGCATCACCACTGAATCAGTATTAACTAAACGGATATCTTGTACCTTATTGGCTGATTACAGTTTGACCCGTGTTGCCTCACCTTGTGATTTTGTACCCACCTCGTGATTTTGCTCTATAAAATGTTCCTAGAGAAATGACCTTTGTGGCATCCCACTTTCAGGTCCCCTCCTGTCTCTCAGGGGCCATCTTCAATCTTTTCTACTCTTAACCTCCCTTGTTCCTTGGAATTCATTCCTGTATTTCAGAGGACTCCTGTTTTCATAGCTGACATCCTGCAGGTTGGGAGTCCTGTTTCTCCTGTATCCCTGTGAGCGGTCACCCACTCTGGGCCAAGACCAGAAGCAGGCAGTTGCCTGGGGATCGTGCACTGTCCAGACAGAAGGTGACGATTGGGCTGGGCTGTGGGAGAAGGAGTGTAGTCATATTGGGGTAAACTCAAGTATTTTTATAGTTTTGTTTGTCAAATGCATGGAATATTTTTAAATCAACTTTATGGGTTGATAACATAGGCAGTAAATAATGTGCATCTTCTATGTATAGGTTGACATATTTGCAGACATAGATAAACCTTGCAGTAAAGTCACCATCATGATCAAGACACAGAGCATCTCCATCATCACCACAACTTCCCTTGTCCCTCTCTTTGGTGAAGACACACGCAGACACTTACCTTAAGCAAACAATAATTTGTTTCTGTTTAGTTAAATTAGATTTATTTGCTTTTTGAGAAAGTCAGACAGAACCTCATAACATCTGGGTCTAGCTTCTTTTACTATATAAGTTCTCCAGGTTCATCTATGCTGTGATGTGAGTCGGAAGTTCCCTCTGTTTTTACAGCTATTATTTTATCATTGAGAGTGCAGACTGATGGATCATTGCCTTATTCTCCCACATATCAATAGACATTGGAACATTTCCAGGTTGTGGCTATTGTAAACAAAGCTGCTGCAAATATCCACAGGCAAGGCACTGTGTGGGTCTCCGCTTCCAGCTCTGTATGGTAAACTTTAAGAACACAATTGCTGGGTCTTGCAGTAGCTATCGGGTTAAGCTTATCGGGAACCGTTTCCCCCAGTGTTTGTCTCACCCTACCTTCCCCTTATGATGCATGAAAGGTCTCAGTTCCTCCTCCTCCTCTTTGTATAATCAGACTTTTAAATTCCATTCTTTAATTGTAGAATCTTGACTGCATCCCTGTTCTGAGACTCCAAACTTAACACGACTTACACCCCAGCACCTGACATATCTGCCCAGTGAGATGCAAGTGGGGCTCCTAGGCAAGACTTCTGGTCAGCTCTTAAATATAATGCAGCTTCCACTGATCAAGATGGCTTTCCAGGAGACAGGGTCCCAGGGGGAAGTTTCCTGAACTCCAGAACCTGTAAGGAGGAGTTGTTGGCTGTAAGTTGGGCTTCTCATTCTGCTGTTTTGTAGCTGTGTGTGGACAGGTCACAGTGTCCCTTGTCCTTGGCCTTTCCAGGTTATTAGGTTAGCATTGTGCATCTTGCTTAGAGCAATTCTTAATTCCTTGCAGCTGCCCTGGGATTTCTGAAATCTAATGCCTTTGAGGATAGAGCTGAAGTTGCCCAAAATCTTTTCAATCTGGTTTTTCTGGGTCCCAGATTCTGTACCCACAGCAATACAAGGCCTGCATTGGGCAGAAGTTCAGATTCCTATGCCTGTTCACACAGGGAGAGGAAGGAGGATGTGAGAATCTGGAAGGTAAAGGAGCAGGTCCAGGGCTGCTCATAGAAAGCCAACAAGAGGCAGACTAAGAAGCAGATGACATTTTAAATACATGGCAGGTTGTTATTCAAACACAGCACACCTTAAATTCACTTGTAACGTGGAAACGCTTCTCAGGGTTAATCATGTGTGGACTGTGCAAAGTTTTCCATTGGTTTTTCTCCCTGGAACATGACATTCCAAGTCAAGTGGGGCCTAGAATTTATGCTGCTTGTTTGTAAGCTGCTTGTTGACCTAAATCAGTTTCTATGGGCCTCTTCATTAATTCTGCTCTGTCTTTGTCTTTCTTCTCACTTTAGTGACCTAGTGCAGGGCCTTCAGAGACTTTCTCACCGAGTCATTCTTACTCACAGTCTGCCACATCAGAAACCTTCCTCCACGAGGAGACCACCAGGAATCAAGTTCATGTTCAAATACAAGGCCACGACTTTCCCAACATTCTATGCTCCCTGTAGCTCTTTGTCATGTGACACATTGTGCCTGTATTTTTATGGACATCTCAGAGTATTTAGGACAATCTCTAAAGTTTCCTTGTAAGTGGAAACAGGAGGCTCACACTGTCAGCCAGCAAGTCCACCTGAGCTGACCCACAGTGCGGTTTCTGTTTTAAATTAAAGCAGGGTGGATCCCTCAGTACCCTTGTGCAGTTGCCAGTCTGCCCTTTCTCTGATGGGCAAACTTCCAACCTCCAGGTTCAGGGCAATAATTATTTCACCATGGAGAGTTCCTCAGAATTCCTCTGGGTCATTGCATTGACCCAGCTCACTGCTTGCACAGTGCTTTGGACTTGATTCATTAGAGCACTTACCATACAGACTTTCAGTCACTTTTAAGAACTGCTTTCTTAGGAAAACCTTGTTACTGTCTGTGGGATTTCTGAGCCTGCCTCTCTGCATAGGTTGAAGAGGTTGGTGCTTGAGGTAAGAATCTCTGCTGGCTTCTCCAGTTTTCAAAGTTGAAATATATTGGTTGGATAAAATCTACCTCTGGAATAGAGTTTAACATTGTACACTGGATGATTTGTAGTATCCACTTCTGATTGTGTTTGAGTAGAAACCTAAAAGGGCACTGTTTCCCCTATGACAGGACTCTTTCCATAAATTGCAGGATTCGCCCTGTAAAATGAGTACAGTTTCAAGGTGAATGATCGTGAAGAAAGGGCTTTCCTCAGAACTCACACCTCTTCCTTCACTCCTGTCTCCCTGGTCTGCCTCTTCTCATGCTCGTTATCTCAGAGTCACACAGGATTTCAGTTTCCTTCTTGAGAATCAAACAGTCCAGCCTCTCGCCCCTTCTGTGTATTCCTAGACTAGAAAACTGTCACAGCAGACATTCTCTGCCAGACCCTCCTCCTGTCTGGTGTCCTACCCGTTGTGAGCCTCGTTAAGCAGGTCTTGTCTGCCCACTGTGATGTCCTCACCCAGTCACTTCCTGACCTGCGTGACTGTCTTCAAGGCAGCTAATTTGTAATAAGCATGAGTTTACTTATTTTAAAAATGTATTTGTGTATCTGCTGCACAAGTTCCTCAGCAGACATCAGCACCAAAATAGTGAAGGACACAGCAGAGAACTCAGACCTGCATCTCAGCACCGAGGTCAGTGCCTGCGGTTCTATTTAATGACTTCATTCCTCAGCCAGCAGCCCATTCACTGATCGTGAACAAGATATGGTGCCCTGTGATGGTAAGTGATAAAAGAGCACCATACACGTGGTGGAGGGACCACAGGTTCTAAACACACGTGGTGCTTGCCTCCTGTTGCTCACACCTGTAAGTGATTTCCTGCCCTTGCTCACTGGTGGGACCTGGTACCATATGATACCATGGTGGTTCTGATACCATATGATAAAACGATGGGTCATTACTTTTATCCTAAATAATTTCCCCAACATAATGTTGCACCTGTCTATACTCCCACCAACAGTGCAGGAGAGTTCTTTTTTCACTGAAACCCCTCAAGCATTTGTTGTTGGTAGTTTCCTTGATCCTGGCCATTCTTTCAGGAGTGAGATGGAATCTCAGTGTTATTTTAATTTACATTTCTCTAATGACCAATGATGCTGAACATTTTTTCATATATTTATTTACCATTTGTATTTCTTCATCTGAGAACTGTGTATTCATCTTAGATCCCCACGTTTGGATTGGGTCTTTGAGTTTCAGGGTTCTGATTTTTTAAAAATTATTTATATATTCTAGACAGAATTCTGAGGCATAGTTCACTAAGATTTGTTTCCCAATTTGTGGGTTTTCTTTTCACTGTGCTGGAGATTTCCTTCAACATGCAGGAACTTTTAAATAAGATGTGATCCCAGTTACTAATCCTGTAAAATATTTCCCATGTATTTTGATTCTTGTTTGTGAATTCTCTACCTACCTCTATGTCTTCAATATTTTTATCTAATTTGTTTTCCAACAGATTTAGTGTTTCTGTTTTAGTATTTAGATCTTTGATCAATTTAGGTTTTAGTTTAGTACAAGGCGATATGAATGGGTCTAGTTTTAGTTTTCAGCATAGTGAGAGCCAATTTTTCCAGCACTATTTATTAAAGAGACTGTCGTTCTTTCAGAAATCATGTTTGGGCCCTTTATCAAAGATAAGTTGGCTGAGTGTGTTTGTACTTGTACTTGTATCTTCTAATTTATTCCACTGATCTTCAAGTCTGTTTTTACTCCACTACCATGTTGATTTTATTACAGTAGCTTTGTAGTATAACTGCAAGTCAGGGATTTTGATGCCTCCTGCCTTGCCTTTGCTGCTTAGATTTATCTTTGCTATTCTAGAACTCTTCTAGTTCCAGATCAATTTTAGGAGTGATTTCTCTAGATCTATCAGATATCCTAGTAGGATTTTGATGAGAACTGCATTGAATCTGTATAATAGTTTTGGAAGAATGGTCATTTTCACACTATTTATTCTTCCTATCCATGAACAAGGGATATCTTTGCATTTTCTGAGGTCCTCTTTGATTTCTTTTTCAGGGTAATATAATTTTCCCTGAATAGATCTTTCACTTCTTTTGTTAGATTGATTCTTATCTATTCATTTTTTGGAAGCTATTGTGAAGGGTGTGGCTTATCTTTTTTCTCTCTTAGTGATTTTGTTGTTAATGTATAGGAATGCTATTGATTTTTGAGTGTTGCCTTTGTATCCAGCTACATTGCTGAATTTATTATACCTAGAAGTCTTTCAATTGAGTTTTCTGTATCTTTTATGTAGAGTATCATGTCATCTACAAATAATGATAATTTTACTT